ATTATTAATAAATTTAGGTGCCAGCAATTGCGGTTAAACTGATGATAAGAATAAATAATTTTAATAATTTAAAGAATATAAAAAGGAGATTTAAATATTTTTTTTTAATTTTATTTATAGTGAAATGTAATAATTTTAGTTAATAAAAAAAATTTATTTTGGAAAATTTATTTCTAATTAAGTTTAAAAAGAAATTAGGATTAGATACCCTATTATTTAAATAAAAATAAAATTAATTAAATATTAAATGTAAAGCATTAAAAATAAAAAATTTGGCGGTAATTTATTATATTAGAAAAACTTGTTGATTAATTTGATAATCCACAAATGGATTAACTTAATATAAATATTTTATATATTGTTGAAAATTAAATTAAGAGATTTTAATTATAAATTTATATTATAAATTAAATTCAAATCAAAATGTAGAATTATTAAGATTTAGATGAGTTATATTGAAAAATATTTTTTTTGTAAATTATATTTAAATTTATTATTTAAAAAGGATTTAAATGTAAATTTATAAAAATTTATAAGTTGAATTATATTTAAATTATGTACAAATTGCCCGCCGTTCTTATTAATTATGATTTGTAAGAAAAGTCGTAACAAAGTAAATATATTGGAAAATGTATTTAAAATAAAAAAAAATTTTAGTTTATTTAAAAATATTTTATTTACATTGAAAAGATTAATGATTTAATATGATTTATTAAAATTAAAAAAAAATTAAATTTAAATATTTATGAAAAATTTAATATGATTTGTGTGTGTGATTATTTTAATTAAATAAAATTATAATAAAAAATTAAATAGAGTTAGTTTTTGAATTGTTGAAGTATTAAAAAAAATTAAATAAATATTATAGATATAAGTAATGTAAATGAAAATTTAAAATAAATTAATTAATTAAATAAAAGTAAATTTTATTAATTGTACCTTTTGTATCAGGGATTATTAAATTTTGTTGTTTATTGGAATAATTTAAATTTCTCGGAATAAAATGAGTTAAATAAAATATTAAAGTTAATGTATAAAAATTATTTTAAATATTTATTTGAAAAAGATATTTTAATCCACTTTTATGATATCTAGTTTTTTTTATATAAATTTAATTTATATATAAATCATTTACAATTAATTAAATTAATAATAAAATTTAATTAGTAAATTTATGTAAAAAATTTATGGAATTAACTATAAATTATAATTAAAATATTTTATGAATATAAATGATTTAAATAGAAAAATATTTTTTATTTTTAAAAATTTTTTAAAAATTTAATAATTTATTATGGAATGGATTATTCTAATTTAAATATAATAATAATTTGAAAATTTGATTTAATTAAATAAAAAAATATTTTAAATAAATTAAGTATTTTAATAAATAATAATAGTATAAGTATATTTATATTAATTATATAGAAATTTTTAAATTTAAAATATATATGTATATTTAATTAAAGAATTAGGCAAATTTATTTTATTAAATTAAAATTTTAATTTACTTGTTTAACAAAAACATGGTTTTTTGATAATTTAAAATTATTTCTGCTCAGTGATTTTTAAATAGCCGCAGTATATTGACTGTGCAAAGGTAGCATAATCAATTGTTTTTTAAATGAAAACTGGAATGAAGGAATTGATGAAATTAAAGCTGTTTCAATTTGTAGATTTAAAATTTAAATTTTAAGTTAAAATTCTTAAAAGAAATTATGGAACGAAAAACCCTATTGAATTTAATATAATTTTTAAATTTATTTAAGGAAATAAATTTTATTTTAATGATTATATTTTATTGGGAGGATAATTAAATAAAATAAACTTTAATTTAAAGATAATTTTAACATTAATTAATGAAATTTTTATAAAGGATTGATTATTAAATTAAGAAAATTTTTTTTTTTTATAATAATTATTATAAAAATTAATTACCTTAGGGATAACAGCGTAATATTTTTAGAAAGATTATATTAATAAAAATGATTGCGACCTTGATGTTGAATTAAAATAAAAATTAAATGAAGAAGTTTAATATTTTAGTCTGTTCGACTAATAAAATTTTACATGATTTGAGTTCAGATCGGTGTAAGCCAGATCGGTTTCTATCTATAATAAAATTAAGAAAATTTTGTACGAAAGGACTTTTTTTCAAATTATATTTTTTTTAATGAATAAATTTAATTGATTAAATATATGTAAATAAATAAAATTACTTTGGCAGAATTTAAGTGTATTAAATTTAGAATTTAAATGATGTATAATAGAAAAAAATTATACAAGTAATAATTTGTCAAAATTTAAGATTATATTTTTATAGTGCGTTAAATATATTAAGATTGTTAATTTTGTTATTAATTATATTAGTTGGGGTAGCTTTTTTAACTTTATTGGAACAAAAAATTTTAAGATATGTACAAATTCGTAAAGAACCTAATAAGGTGGGATTTATAAGATTATTTCAATCTTTTAGTGATGCTATTAAATTACTTAATAAAGAATTATTTTATGTATATAAATCTAATTATAATTTTTTTATGTCCTATAATTAGATTTGTTTTAATAATAATATGATTAGTATTTCCTTACATTACTAATATTTATTTTTTAAATTATTCTATTTTATTAATAATTGTTTTATAACTATTAGAGGGTATGTTATAATTTTTATGGGATGATCAGCTAATTCGATTTATTCAAAAATAGGGGCAATACGATCAGTTTCACAAATATTATCATTTAAAGTAAGATTTATTTTAATTGTTTTAGTTATTATATTAATAAGAGAGAGATATTCTTTTTTTGATTTTATTAATTATCAATTTTATTTATGATATATAGTAGTTTTATATCCTTTGTTTATTATATTTTTTATTAGGATTTTAGCTGAATTAAATCGAAGTCCTATAGATTTTATCGAAGGTGAGTCAGAATTAGTTTCAGGGTTTAATATTGAATATTTTAGGGGTGGGTTTACATTAATTTTTTTATCTGAATATCGAATAATTATTTTTTTTAGATTAATTAGAATTTATATATTTAGAAATTTATTAAAATATTCAATAATTTTAACTTTTATTTTAATTAATATTTTATGTAGAATAGTAATTTTTATACATGGAATACTTCTCGAATACGATATGATGAATTAATATATTTATGTTGGAAAATTATTTTACCAATAATTTTAGTTTATATTTTATTAATTTTTGGATTTAAATTTATATTATAAATAATAATTTAGTAAAAAAAATTAAATGTTTAAAAGTTAATAAAAAATTAAAATTTCTTTAATATGTTTTCAAAACATAAACTTAAATTCAAGATCATTACCTTAATTTAATAGTAATTTATAAAAAATTTAAGTATTAAATATAATTATTTTTAATATTTTAAATTTATTTATAATGATAAATTTTTTAATATTTATTTAAAAATAATTAAATCTCAAATTTTTATTAGGAAAGGTAATAAGATAAAATAAAGAAAGTAACATAATGATAAAATTTGTCTAATAATGATAAAAGGTATTTCAATAGGTTGAGCTCCTGCTCATGTTAATAGAATAAAAATATTAATGAAAATTCAAAATAAATATTGATTTAAAGGATAAAATGTGATAATGAATTAAATTTTATAGAAATTAGAGGTAAAAAGTATAAGATAATAATTGATGATAATAATGCAATTACACTTCCTAATTTGTTAGGGATAGATCGGAGGATAGCATAAGCATATAGAAAATATCATTCAGGTTGAATATGAATTGAAAATGTATTTTATAAATAAATGAAATATTATATATATATAATATATAAGTTATATATATATATATATATATATATATATATATATACACAGATATGACAACCGTTATCTTGATTTTTTCCGATTATTGATGTTACATTGTATAACTCTCATTTCTTTCTCTCTGCTACATAATAACTTATGACGTGAAAGAACTTACGAGTAACGTATGATGGCTCAATGCAAGAATATTTAATCACGTAAAAAACTTGAGTTCAAATATATCAATATCAATTTTTTTATAATATATTGGAATATGAAAAATCATAGAAATATATTTGTATATAGGCGATAAACTTAAAAATTTGATATTGAAAATATTTTAATCATATTTTACAACTACACACACTATAAATATATAAATGCAAAATAATTCCGTAAATAAATTTCAAGTAATAAATCAATTGCACACATGCACACAGCTGGTATGTAGATTTTTATTAAATTTATTTTTAAATTTATTTTCTGAATTATTTTACACTTATATATATAGTGTATGTAGTAAAAATATTTTCAATATATTAAAAAATTTTTAAATCGCCGAAATATATTTTTTTATCATTTTTCTATATTTTAATATATATATATATATATATATATATATATATATATATTATAAAAAAATTGATATTGAAATATTTGAACTCTAATTTACTGGATGATATACTGAACATCCTTGCATTGATTATACATTACTCAACGTTCTTTCACGTTATAAGTATTTGGAGCAAATGATACAATAGCATCAATAATCAAAAAGAAATCAAGAATAATCAACATATCCCTATATATATATATATATATACATATATATATATATATACATATATATATATACATATATATATATATATATATATATATATATATACGCACATATGTGCATAAGCATATATAAAATTTACAAAAAGTAGGTACTTATTAGCCTTGCTACGCTACTGCCTTCTGCTACGGAAGGCCAGAAAGCATTTTCAGGCCGTATCTCGCGAATACCGGCACGATAGAGGAACAAGGAGAACACGTAATTATCGGTCCTTGTCTCTCTACGGTGCGTCCGCGTGAGCAATGCAATAGTGTATGTACGTGTACAGACATGCACCACTACATAAAACCCTAGAATTGGTTTCTCGGCGTTGGCAACACTGAAATCGGAGTTTCGCGTTGTCACCGCGCGAGGTCTCCAACATCAATTCGGAGTTTGGCCGGCCGACCTGTCGACCCTTAATCTGTGTTATTACATTGCTGATGTTATCCGGTATAATCTGATTATTGTCATATATACTGTTAATTCGTGTGAAAGATATAAAAAAGAACAGGGTAAGTGTAAGAAAATAGTGTAAAGCTTAAGAAACAGAAATAAGAATAATTATTAATCACAAAATAACAAATTTTATATTTTTATACTCATTGTATTATTAATATATAGAAATTGTAATATATTGTTTAATGTTATCAAACGTTAATAATGTTATATTACTGTAAAATGCAATTTGTAATTTGTTTCTAGATGGATGATCAGGATTCAACAAGTGTTATTAATATAATAAAAGATCTATGTTCTGGATCAGAATCCTATCGCAGAAGTACTGGAGTATCGGCACGATTTTCAGGAACTAGCTTTACACGTTCTAGATTCAGTGATAGTAATGACAGCATTATCTCACCAAAACGACAAAAACTAGATGAATCTGAATCATCTACAATTAACAAAACTCAATCTGATTCTATCCCAGGTAGTCCTTGGGAATGGCGACGTATGAAAGGAGAGGTAAGATGGCACATACATATTATAAAAAATGATAAAGTGCACTATATAATTATATAAAATAGATACAATCTGAATAAAAATATAAAGTAATTTAATGAAAAACATTTCCATTTAGATTATATCATTAAAGACCAGATTGACTCACCAAGAGGCAACTGTGCAACAGCTTCACAATATACGCAGACAAATGGAAGAAATTTTTGAAAAGGAGAAAGGTCTCTTACATATCCAGGTGGAACAGGATAGGCAAACCATTCAACAGTTAGAAGTTCGATTAGATGTTGCACGGCGAACAATCCAAGATGCAAGAGAAGCACAAGCTACTGCAGAAAAAGAATGGTCCCAAGTAATTACATGTTAATAAATCTTACATATTAATTCATATATATTTTATTCCATAATATATTTTTACATTTTTTGATTACATTTTTAGACAAGAAACAATTTAGAAAAGAAGATAGAAACATTGTTAACTGAAAATGCAAGATTATCAGAGAATGTGAGAAATACTTCTGCAAAAGAAATATCTCCCCCTCTTCAAGATACTAATGAATCAAATGAATTACAATTGAAATTGGAAACTGCAGAAACTAAAGCAGCAATGTTGGAGGAAAGGATGAAGGATTATCTCAAGATGCAACAAGACTATGAATTACAAAATGTGGAACTGCAGAATATGAAAATTAAGTTAGAAAAAGTCGAGTCAGAAAGAGCATTGTGGGAAGAGGGCAAATTATTAGCAGGAAGAGCGGCAAGAGCGAATGATCTCGAGAAAGAATTGAATATGATGAAAAAGACTGTTACAATTCTAAAAGAGTCAGTCAAAGAAAAATTACTCTTGGAGGAGCAAATGGCCAATATGACAAAAAGGTATTTCTCATGTATTTGGAAAACGTTATTTAACATTTATTTAACAATGCATGGTTTATTATAGATTGGAGCACACTGAAAAAGTGGAGCAACAAGTCGCGATATTGGAGGCAAAACGATCCGAACTTTCACTTCGCTTGCAAGAATACGAAACAATTGGCATTATTGGTGGACCAATGGCGGTAAAGCGAGAGCTGAATCGACTTCAACAGGCTGAGGTGGACTTGAGAGCAGAGGAAGGTCAGTTGAGATCAAGATTGGATGCGGTGCTACGAGAATCACAGAATTTGGCAAAGAATTATGAGAATGCGAAGAAGTTGGCTGCTGATGTGACATCATCAAAGGAAAAATTAAATAAGCTCGTAAGCAGGTTGCAAAAGAAGATGATTCTTGTCACCAGAGAGAGAGACAGCTACAGACAACAATTAGACTTGTATGAGAAGGAGATGACGATAGACAGCAACAATGCGATGACCGAACGAATACCGGCTTTAGAACGCACTATAGATGGATATAGGTATATTCTCTCATATACTAGTACATATCACAAATATTTAATTAAATTAAAAGTTATTTTATAACAAAAATATTTTCAATATTATTTCAGGGAATTGGTTAATAAGTTGGAAACAGATCTTGAAGCGGCCGAGGTTGGCACACAGAAGAACGAATGTAATAAATTGAGAGAAGAAATCGAGCAATTGAGAGGCGAGCTCGAGCATCGAGCGTTAAAGGGAGATTTCAATTGCAACGCTCGAGTTCTACATTTCACAATGAATCCCGCGGCAATAGCAGAGAGACAAGTCGAGGAAAAACAAGCGGCTCTATTACGAGAAGTGGAGGAACTTCGAACCAAGGTGGGATCAGGAAATTATGGTGCGACTACATCATCGTTGCAAACGCAAGGTACGTAAATAACGATATTTACATCTAACTTACAATATTCTTTGCGCAACTATTTATTTCTTTTTTTCAATATAGAAATTGTAGAATTGAAGCAAACGCACGAAATAAAGATAGCACGCTTGAAGGAAGCTTTTAAGGCATCATCACAGGAATTTCGTCAAGCGTGCTATCAATTATTTGGTTGGAGAGTGGACCGAACAAAAGAGGGTTATTATAAGCTATTGAGTCAATATGCAGAATCACAGGATGATTTTCTTTTCTTCCATATAGGAGAAGAAGGTGTGGATATGTTGGAGACCGACTTCTCCACAAACCTAAACAGTCTGATTGAGCAATATTTGCAAAGACAGCATAGTGTTCCTATGTTTCTTAATGCTGTACAATCCGATCTTTTTAGTCAGCAAACTGTGACAAATATAGTGACATAATTCTATTCTGTATTATTAATGAAACCAATGTTCTTATTTATAGAGTTAATCAGACAATATACAATATAGAATAATGTAATATTATTTGAATTACATTTATCACACTAAATGCGCCTAATAAATTTTTATATTTCTCTGTAGAAAGCTGTTGACACACATACACACATATTCATATACAACGTATCAATTTATTAATGGTAAAGTAATTTGAAATTATTTTACATATGAATGTCATAAATATTACCTATGAATAATCATCATATTTATAACAATAATTTTCTGGATTTTTTCTATAATCTTCAAATATTATTTCAAATCTATTCCATGATAATAACAGATTTCTTCTATAATCAATTACTACAAAGAATGACTTGCAATAGCAATTTAGAACGAATTCTTGTAATTTTTATTTCACTATTAATATAAGATATATATATGTGTGTATGTAAGAAAGTTAACAAATTAAATTTTTCGAAAAGTAGTGCAAAAAATATCAATGCAGCAAATTGTAAATAAATATTCTAGATATTTAATAACTTATTTCTATAAGTAAAACTATAAAAATATTTCAGATAACATTTTCGAAATTTTTTTTTATCAAATCAGAGATAATTCTAAAAAAGGTAAATAATTTTTAAGAGCTGACAGACAACTAAACAGGGAGGCATCAAAAATAAAATTATTTTCTTCTATTTCACGCATTATAAAATTAGAAAATTTCCAGAAATATTTTATATGTATGTATGAAATTGTATATAAAATTTGTGTTAATGTGTAAAATTACATCGAAGCTTGATTCTACAGAGAGATTAAAACTCAAGTTTGATCATAATCTTCTTTCTGTATTCGCAATTTGACTTTATTAGTTACAAGGACACAATAATATCCTACCACGATTCTCTTCGATAAAAACTTATATCGTGAAAACTCGCCGAACTCTTACCGTGCATAAAAATCTTGCGAGAGAGGGCTACGTCAAGTTGAAAATCGCGTTGGGCCATCCCAGCGGCTGTCCCGCGGGACACGTTACCGCTCGACCACACTCGTACGTGCTCTGAAAGGGGAAGCCTGTGTGTCCCAGAAGACCGATTTCCATTGCTTTGTTCGAGGAAGGAACTGTGACGGTGATCTTCATTAGTGACTAAGTCGCTATATGGGATACCACTGCACCCACGTCACTATATATGAATAAATGCGCACTCTCACACATTCCTAAAACACATAGCATTTATGCATATAAATGTATGCACCGGTGTGTGTATATATATATTATATAACATATATGCATATGCATTTCTGGATGACCAAAAGCATTTCATGGTAACGAAGAGGAAGCGAGAAAGAGGAAGGGAGAGACAGTCGTCTATACTATAGCTGACGACGGGAACTCGATATAGCGGTGCCAGCTGCAAATAAGGGACTCGAGTCGACGGGAACTCCCGAGCTGAAACTCCATTATCCTTAATTATAATCGCGTTTAATCGCAAACTCATCCTGCGCTCTCCCTCGCATACGTGCCGCTCTCGCGCCTCGTAGATCCGCCGTCGTCCTTATCCTCGTCTACGTCGTCGTCGTTTACGTCGCCCCTCATCGTCTCGCATTCGCCATTGCAACCGCTGTCGGTTATCAATCCGGAATCAACGCGCGGGTATTTCTTCGACGGGAAGTAGCTGATGGCCTGACAAAGCGATTATCCGCATCACCGCGAGAGAAAGAGAACCGTGCATCCTTTCCTATGGCCTGGCAGGCATATATACAAAGTGCACGGAGCGTATCGACGATAGGCGAGAAAGACGACGGTTTAAGTACCTCGAGAGGAAGTGCCAGACCTCGAGAAATATCGATGCGGGAGTCGCACGCAGGTGCATGATTAATGCGGTCGTACCGCAGAGTTATCACCACGTGCGGGAGAATCGCATTCTATTAAGACCTCACGCGAGCAGACCGACTGATCATTGCTATCAGTACCGAATTGTGCTTCTCTCTTTGATCTCGAAATTGAAATATCGTGATTTTTAAAGAAAATTTTACCAAAAATTTGCTGAAAATATATAGGGCTTTATTAATAAATTAGATTTTTTTTTTCCCGAGATCAAAGCAGCTTTTAATCTTATATGTCATCTTACAAGAATATTCCTTTTAGCCTCTATTTAAACATACGTAATAATTCAACTGCAAAGATGAAATGCGATGATCGAAAGCTATCTAATTACGATGAATTAACTTATTTCTGAAACGTCTATTTCTATATACACTCTAAAACTCAATTATCGCGACGAGAATGTCAATTATGAAATTAACACAGGGACCATTTCGCCATCCTTCAGCAGCATCAAGTGCAATTCACTAAAATTATATCAATTTCGACGATTTTGGAAAGATCTTTTCGATTTTTTTCTGAAAATTTTACTCACACGTTAATCTCTCTTATAATCACATCAAGAGACACGGTAGTGTCTCGCGACCAGTTAAGGGCGTAGCCGAGACACCGTGTATCTTAACGCGAGTCGGACATTTGAGTCTTTATAATATTTCGAATTCTCAATAACGGCTGAAGCAATCGAGTTTATACTAGACTTAATCGATAGATTGAGTTTGAATTATATAATAAAAGTGTCTTTATTTCTGCTCTACGTGATTTGTAAGCAGAGATATATAATTGCAAAGTCGAAATATGAAAAATTTCTTTTAAGAAACGTCCCCGTCATCATTGTCATCATCGACCACGCAAACATAGTAGTATCGTGCTACACGTATTCACACGTATACAACACATGCGCACACATATATCACACGTACACAACACATAAATAGATGCATGTATTGGAAATGTCCATCTCGCACGTTTTACAACAGACGGCGATAGTTGCCCTCCGCTATATTGACAGCGTGCGGGGTTAGATATTTTCAATCAATCAACGTGCGGGGTTAGATATTTTCAATTTCAATTTTTACATTCAATTTTAATGTTATTATTTGCAAATTTATGGTCATAATATTTCAATAATATTTCAATTATATAAATGCCTATGTATGAGTATGCATATATTTTTAATAATAGTTGCCCTCCGCTATATTGACAGCGTGCGGGGTTAGATATTTTCAATTTCAATTTTTACATTCAATTTTAATGTTATTATTTGCAAATTTATTGTCATAATAATTTATGTGCAAATTTACAGTCTGTGATACAAAATCAGATATTTTGCTATTATTTCAATAATATTTCAATTATATAAATGCCTATGTATGAGTATGCATATATTTTTAATAATTTTCTTAATTAGCTTCTATATTTTTTTCAGTTGTACATCAAGCAGGTAGCATTATCAGCTCACTTGTGAGCATGGGTTGGGCAATGGCTAGTTATCATCGCAGCATTCGATTAGCTTAACAAGATAAATCTAATATCAGTGCTATAGGAACTATTTTACAATTTTTCTGGCATTTTCTTATTGCAGGTACATATATATCCAATAATTAATATACAAAATTAAATATTATTCATCACACACTTTGTATCAAAATAATATATTTTTTAAAATTTATTTTAAATTTATTTAATCATTTTTATCATTGTGATTGTAGTGGCAAGGATCTTATTGCTCAGTGTCATTGCAAGCATCTGGCCTGTATATACCATAATATATTGTGTAATACATTGGCTAAGTATGACAATATAGATTTTGATAGATTCCCATGGAATATTGGAATTTTGTCGGACTTACAGTCATCCACCACATATGCAGCCTACAATTAAAGAACGCATTTATTCCATATGATTTGCTTCCGTTATTGGAATATTTAAAATAAAAATTTTATTAATAAATTTCGATGAAATAATTTATAAGAGGTTGAAGAAACTATGAAACAAATTCAGTCTCATAAAAGGGTAGTTGGAACAATAGTGGTGAATGCAGAAGGTATTACATGAGATCATTGACATGATTTACTTGTAGTTGTAAACAAAAATTTATAAAATTATATCTGTTTTAGGTATTCCTATAAAGTCAACATTAGATAATACGACAACAGTTCAATACGCAAGTTTGATAAGTCAATTGTCAGATAAAGCTCGTTCTGTCGTACGTGACTTGAATCCAACAAATGATTTAACTTTCTTGCGCATACGTAGCAAAAAACATAAAATTATGATGGCACCAGATAAAGAATTCATATTAATAGTAGTACAAAATCCAGTTGATTGATATTTAAAAGAAACAAAAATATATTTCAAAGTTAAGATTTATTTCTTTGGTTGTTAATTTAATCTGTATGCTACATTGGATGTTAATATCTATTCAATTAAATAAAGAAAAATAAAAGAATAAAGCTTAAAAATTATACAAAATGCAGTATTTAATTACTAATTTAACAAATTATGAACTTTTAGAGTTTTTAAATAGTGCTTTCTTCTTTGGTAACAATATTATATTTTTAAGGTTGATAATTATGAAAATATGTATATATAGTAATTCATGGCATGTTTATTTTTGTATTTAATACAATTATAAATGTACATTTCTCATCAATAAAATATCACAGTATCTTTTTTATAATTTAATTTTAATATTGAGATTGTTTTTATTCAGTGGAAAAAAAAATGTGTAGTTGGTCCCTATTAATTATACATACATATAAGAGTGTCGCACAAATAATTCTATGCAGTCTTTTTAAGATAATATAAAAATACTTATAAATATAATCAATTAAAATACATATAATCAAAATTGTATGTATTAAAATTCAATAGCATATAAAAAAGATTTTTAAAATTATATATATATAATAAAAATCCAACATTTATATATATATATATATATATATATATATATAAATATAATATATATTTATTTATTTATATTTACCTATCTTTTTTTATATATATGGTAGAAATACAATGTATGAGTTATTTTATTTTGCAAAATTTTTGAAAGTTAAACTATTAATTACAATGAAATTATTTCATATAATACCGAGATTCTTTTCATAATAAAGATTAAGAGAGAGTTAGATTTTATCATAAGATTTATAAAAGTCATAAGATAAGGTTAATTGCATATTGTATAATTTATCTCTCATTTTTTAAAGTAAATAAATATCAAAGTTACATTGCTTGAACTGGTGCGTTTGAAGTATGTTGTCTTTTTGAGGGATGCAAGACAATATAGTACAAAAGCATTGCTGTAATTCCCAAGAAAAAGGAAATGATACAAATAATAAAGATTATATTAAAGTACTAAGCCTCTTTAACTGCAGGAGGACAAGCATATTGCCATAATAAATTTGCTGCAATATTTTCAAAAAAGCAGATAACATAGAAAGATAGATGTTTTCAAAATGTTTTGCTATCTACAGCATTGAGATATATAAAAATGTGCACTATGCCAATAACGGAAGCAAATAATATGGAATAAATGCGTTCTTTAATTGTAGGCTGCATATGTGGTGGATGACTGCAAGTCCGACAAAATTCCAATATTCCATGGGAATCTATCAAAATCCATATTGTCATACTTAGCCAATGTATTACACAATATATTATGGTATATACAGGCCAGATGCTTGCAATGACACTGAGCAATAAAATCCTTGCCACTACAATCACAATGATAAAAATGATTAAATAAATTTAAAATAAATTTTTAAAAATATATTATTTTGATACAAATTGTGTGATGAATAATATTTAATTTTGTATATTAATTATTGGATATATATGTACCTAAAATAAGAAAATGCCAGAAAAATTGAATTTGCTTATTTATTTAAAGATGCTTATCATATACAAAAATGAATGATATAATCTCTAAAAACTCACCTTTAAAAAAAGGTAAAAAAAGGCGACCAGTTAAGGGCACACCATTAACAAAAATTATCCATTGCAAACCCATGTACAATAGAATTGTATGAAAAATTATCGATTATAAACCAATGTACAATCGTAACAAAAGTAATGAAATAAAAAAAAAATTGCGCCAAGTGAAAGTAGAAACTTGTACCAGTGGAAAATTAAAGTTGCAGACATATATAGAGTCGTATAATGAATCAATAAAAATTTAAATTTGCAAATGTAGAATTGTACCATAAAAAACTTATCTTTTAAAAAAAAAGATAAACAAGATGCCAAGTCCATGCGCCATGTGAAAAAGTGTTAAACAAAAAAGTATTTTTAAGTAAAAAAATCTATCAATTGACAAAAATTTATGTTC